CTGGGTATCATTGATACTTGGATGCTGGTATCGGGGTATCATTGATACTTAGTTCTGGGTATCGTTGATACTTGGATTTTTGTTTGATTGATACTAGGTTGTGGGTATCGTTGATACTTGGATACTGGTATCTGGGTATAGTTCATACTAGGCTCTGGGTATCGTTGATACTTTAGATATTGATATCTGGGTATCATTGATACTAGGTTGTGGGTATCGTTGATAGTTAGATGCTGGTATCTGGGTATCATTGATACTAGGGTTGGGTATCTGCGGTTATGCATGCAATGTGTGAAAATTGCTCTTGGATGACTCACCCACAAAACATCTCAAGCGCCACAGCTCTTTTCACTGGCGAAGCTCACATGTATCCTGCATCCCTCAACTTCTGCTCATCCTCTTGAAGGAGCTTGGCGACGAAATGCCAATGCTTCAAAGCCACTCTTACATTGGTTGTGCTCCTCAGGACGCAGTCTGCTGGCTCCTCACGAAGAAGCTTCAACTCCATGTTGGTCTCTTCGTCGCTCTCTGCGAGATACCCCATGGGTCCTGCCTCTGCCACCTTAAGGAGATAGTCCTTCACTTCCTGGTCATGAAACTTCTTTTGAATTGGTTGCACCCTCCGCTTGTACCACTTCTCAACCTGCTTGATGACCGCATCGCCTCTCTGACCTTCTCTGGAGACGTTTTCCAGTATCTCACCCAAGGCGCGGAAGTTGCCCCCCTGCGCGGATGTCGTAGTGCTTCAACACCTGCTCGATGTCCTCGTCGGCAAGTACCTTGTTCAGCGTCCGGAAGTCGTTTCCCTGCTTTGCGATCGCCTTGACCACAGACGTGAAGTCTTGGAAAGGTAGGGGTCGCACCACCACCAGCCTTGACATGTCAAACCTTTCTTTGACGATGTCCGCCACCGCAGACACGCTGACCTCCAAAATGAACTTGCACGCGGCATTGTCGTAGGTGATGTTGCGAGCGCAGGCACCGAGGGTGGAAGCAATGTCATCACAGGCATCCCTACTAAATTCGTCTCCGCGGCTTTTGGTTGTGAAGTGCAGGTACACCGCGACAGCACTGCCTGTTCGGCGCTTGGACGTCTCATTCACCTTTTCCAGCAAAATTTTGACATTTGACGGGTAATATCGGGGCAAGTCTACGGCTTGTAAGGCTTGGGGCAGCGCCTCGTTGAGCTTCAAGTCCTCACCAGGACGAACAGAAATATCAAGAGGAAGCACCCTTTTGCCACTCTTCACATGCTCACACGTGAGATTGGTCAGCATGGTTGATTTCCTAATGCTTTGGGAACCACTGACCACCAAGAAGGAAGGGGTGCTCAACGCTGCACGTTGAGGTAAATTGATGAAGTCCTTGATGTATTCCTCCTCAAGAGGCCGTGCAGGGGCGGGCTCTTTCCTTTTCAGCCTTTGCCCAGCCTTCCTCACTGCCCTGTTCATGAAGAAGCCAGGAAGGAGCCTTTGAATGAGAGCTTGGAGAACCAGCACTACGACGCTCCCTGTGCTCAACAAAGTCCAACCAGTTTTAACGGTCTGCGCCGCAAAAGCCCTTGCAGGCTGTGTTCGTGCATGACCGCTTGGAAGGACAAACCGGCCTGGCGCAAGCTGAACCTGCCTGACAAAGATGCATCTGCTGAATGTCAAAGAAAAAGGACAATACATCGGTTCAGTCAATTTGTGCCAAACTGGCTTTGGATTGAAGGATGCTTGATATGCAAAACCAAACAGGAACCACAGCGCCTAACCTCAATCAATACATGAATTTGAAGCAAATAATTCGACATCATTTTGAAGAACAGCTTGGTAGAATTTGAACCTGAAGCTACACATAGAAACTCTGACCACCTCAACACATAGAAACTCTGACCACCTCAACAATTATCCCCTTCATTCAATCCAAACAATGAAGTGAAAGTTATGACCCTAAAACACGCATAACAAGACCCCAGAAAAACGACAAAGGCTCAGCACAAGTGTTCAAGAGCCAAGAACATTCAACGAGGTGATTGATGAACCAAAACTCCCCAGAACCCCCATTTTACCATTTTTTTGGGGGGGGTGTCGATGTGTGTGATGTGCATGATGCGACTTTGACATCTCCAAGTGTAGCCTTCACCTACTCCCAGTCAAAGGGGTCGTTCCCCAATGAAAACCACCAGGACCTTCCATTACACCCTAAGAGGTGGTTTCTGGGCACATGTCACGAGGAAACACCGGAATTTGAGGGTCCAGGACTGAGAAGTTCATACCAATCCCAACTGACATCAGATGATCAGATGCATCACTCGGGCATCGTCCCGTGCTGGATTTGCATGGGCCGCGTAGATTCTGGTCAATGGCAGGTGCCCAATGTACCCCAACGAAGCGCAGAAGATACTTTGGGCGCAAGAGTTCGCGTTCTTGGGTTCAATCCGTGTCTTCCCTTCAGGCGCAGGTTTTTTCACCTGCGTCATCAAGGCCAACCATTGATTCAATCACTTCAATTTGGAGTATCCTTCCCGTCATCTCTGCTTGAAAGCCACCCAGATCCGACTATCCTACCAGCCACGAACCCACGCAACCGCACACCCTGCCAGGTCTCTCCGTGCATCAGCCCTTTGCGGTGCAAATACTCCGCGGCGCCGCTCACGCGCACGGCAATCTGCCTCGCCGCGGAGGGCGTGTAGCAGGTGCCTTTTCCACCATGCTGCGGTAGCGCGTCGCGGGTCACGGTGGCGAAGCTCGGGGGCGCCGCGGCCGCCTGGGCCTGCGGCGAAAGGGAGCTACGGAGGATTTGCATAGCTGGGGAGGGGAGCGGGAGCGGGAGCGGGAGGGAAGGAGGAAGGGAAAGGAAATCATTATCATTCACTTTCACATGAGGCAAAAAAGAGAGAGAGAGAGAGACAGAGAGAGAGAGAGACAGAGAGACAGAGACAGAGAGACAGAGACAGACAGAGAGAGAGAGAGAAGCTTTCTCACCCGGCGGTACATCGTCAAAGCACGCAGCGAATTCTTCAAAATGGTGGCCTCTGCAGTTCACTGAAACGGGGCTACACCTAAACCTCTGAAGCGTGGTTTCCGCCGAGGGCGGAGAGGTGTATACATCGATGGCGAAATGAAGCGTTCCACGCGGAATGTGAAGCTTTTTCACCTGTCCCACCCGATCCACGGGTTGGTGGTTTCACTTGCATAGATGAGTTAGATGAGTTAGATGGGGTTCAATACATGGTTCAGATAGGTTCAAATCATCCCTTTCGTAACGATCCAATGACACCCACCACTCGCAGGTTTAATCGGTGGGTGTCGTTCCCCCTCCTTGGCATCGATGTCTTGGGGACGTGGATTCCGTGTTCCCCCCCGTGTCCACCCAAAGACCTGGATTCCGTGAAAGCGGTGGAAGAGCGAGCCTTGGATTCCGTAGCAAGTCATGTGAGTTCGCTGCGAGGTGGATCCTGGATCTTCGATCCCCCCTCCCTGTGGTGGGCAAATCTCCTATCCAAGTGGTGGCAGCAGCCTGCAGCAAATCTCCTATCGAACTTTTTGCCTTTGAGGGGTTCTAGATCTTCGATTGAAGGTCACCTCGAAGACCTGAACATCACCTCGCCTTGGGCAGTAGCTCCAGGATCATTCCTCTGGGCTCCTGGCGTTCCAAGTGTGGGACCAGCGTTTTTTCCTACATCCCCTAGGCTTGGCTTCCGTTTGACCAATAAAATCGTGGACCTGGTGTTATGATGTAAAGTCCTTTAAGTAAAACAACGGTTGTTTGGTATTCAGACCATGAAATCACTGGTGGATGGAAGCCTAGCGCTTCCGGTGCCTGGCATTGTTAGAGTGGAGCTGTGAACTCACGGAGCATCTGGGTATACCCCCAAACCCTTCGAGGTTTGGTTGTATTTCTTTGAACCAAATCTAAAAAGTTCGCTCACGTCTCGTCACGGTTGGCACGTCAGACACCCACCATCTCCACCCAGGACTCGCACGAAGCATCCCTTCATATACACCCTAGCCTTCAAAGACCATTAAAGGAACGGTTGAGCTGGTGTAGTGTCTTTGAGCGTTTTCGGTACCTAACGGACGAACGGACACCGCACTTCACGGCGTTTCGTCCGATCCTCGAAGGTCCCCAGCACCTCCACCAGCGCTGGATGCCCGGGCACCGAGGCCACCCGGTTGGCCGCCCACTCGGAGAGCGCGGTGCCGTCCGAGAAGGTCTCGGCCTCCCAGATCTTCACCGCCACCGTCCTGGCGATGGTGCGGAGGGGTGCGGAGAGGATCTGCTCCGTGAGTGCAAAAGAGCGCCCTGTTTGGGCATCTTCCCTTTTTCCCTCCACCTGACGGCCGCATCAGCAGGTTTTCTGAAAAAGGGTAGGCGATTCCGTCATGTGGCTTCCACGAGAATGAGTTCAGACACCTCTTGCCATCGAAAGGGCACCACTCGTGCCGTCTCCGCCCCTCTCCGCTGTCTCCGTCTCCTGCCGTGCCAGTCACCCTGGTAGACGGTTGCTCCAGCGCCGCTGCCCAGCTTTTCACCCAACCTGGACGAATGCGTTGAAGGCGTTGAAGGCGTTGAAGGTTCGAAGAGGTCAAAACAAGTGCCTCGCTACTAGGAACAAGTGCATCGCTACTAGTAACAAGTGCCTTACTAGTAGTAACAAGAAGCGTTTATTGTAGCTTCAAAAGTTCAAAGCTCAAAGCTTTCAGCTTGTCGGACTCCCAAAAACGTCACCAATGGATACCTTTGAAGTCTCTAACAGCCATTTTGGAGACTTCCCGGTAGAGTCAGCTGCTTTACATCATATATATATATATATAGAGAGAGAGAGAGAGTGAGATAAACATTGAAAGAGTGTGGTTTTCCATAACTTTCGACCAATGTGCCCAATTCAGACCAACTGCACCCTCTAAAAAGAGGCGGCCTTTTTGGCAGCCGTGAACACCTTCGGGGCACCTCAAGACGATCCGAGCACTAAAAAGCTCCTAGTGCGTGGCTTCATTGAATTGGAGGGCCCGACAATCTGAGTCTCTCCACTTCTCTTTGAACTTTTGCAAGCTCTCCCAAAAGCGTACCCTCCCCACCCCAGCCCGACTGCTAAAAACACGAAAAAACGTTGTTCTCTGAGAGGCTTCACTTCCTTGAAATCCAAGCTCTGAAATCCGCCGGCCAGGTGCCTCACACGGCAAAAGCACCATCCACCGAGCAGAGATTAGACAGATCCACGCCCGAAATATTGCCCCACCATACCTGCTCACAAGTCTGCAGTCTATGGTATCAGGGACCCCATTTCGGTCAAACCATCAGAACATGTTAGAACTTGTGTGCGTATCGGCGCGACTTGATCCGCCGTGTCAGCTTACCGCGACGCGGTACCTGCCGCCCGTTTCCTGGTCTCCGGAAATGAAGGGAGGTTCACCAATCCATATCAAAGCATGTCAAATAGTGATATTTATTATTGATGCTTTGATGTAGTTTACTATAGCTCTAAGATCCTCTAAGGCTGTTTCTATGTCCATGGAACCATCCTTGGGCCGTCACGGCATCTACCCCTTCGCCGGATGCCTCTCGAGAGCCTCTTCAGCCATGGGATTGGCACCCAAGGCCACCCAAGCCAAGCGCTTGTGCTTCAGCAGAGCCTCCGGGAAGGCCTTGCGAGCCAGGCATGGCAAGCATGAGAAGCGGAAACAAACAACCAGAAGTCCTGGGGCCCACCTCGGACTTCTCTGATCCTCATTAGAGCAGGGTGCTCTGAGTGAAGAGGTCAGTTGTTGAAAGATCCAGCAGACTTTTACTTTACATACATCAGACTGCACATCTACTTGGGCAGATGTTACAACTGGTTGAGGTATTCAGCCCTTTCTGGTCGCGCACTTCTTCACGGGTCGCGCACTGGTCGGCGCCTCTAAACGGTTTTGCGCCACCCGTAGCATCTCGAGGGCCTCGATGGCGGCCACGGGAGCTAACGTGGCACAGGTGAGCTGGTTGTGGCTCAGCATGAGCTTCCGAACCTGTGCCACGAAGGACAGTGCCACGACCGGTGCCACGAAGGACAGCGTTCGCCTTCGACCGTTCTAGAATGGGGGCGAACGAGAGATGCGGTGAACGGGGCGATGTCTTCTGTGTCTTGGGTTCGAAACACAGAGATCAACGATGATCAAGGAAACACAGATGTGTCCATCCAAGTGGTAGGCACCCGAGCCATGAAAAGGTGGTATCTGCCAAAAAGACATAAACGCCTCGATGGATGCGAGGCGAATGCGCCCCATTCAGGGCAACGAAGCACAACTGTTTGGATAATTCTATGAGAATTGCAGCTGATGAAGGATTTCTTCTTTTCCCCTTGCCAAAAGAAGCTCTTGAGAAGACATGTAGGAAATAGCCAGAAATTCTCTGCCCTAAGACTCCGATTTCGGGCCCCCGATGATGATGATGGGTCGGACCTTCTGCAACCAAACGCAGGGGTCCGGAGCATCAATACCCTATGCATTGCTTTGGGCCCCGATTCTAAGGATGACGACATTTGGCTACACTCCAGACTCAGTCCCACCGATGGCTCCAAGCCGATCACCTCGGTCACGAGACCTGGCCCGTCTTCCATCGCTGGTTTCACCGACCAGGACACCCTCTTCAGCCGCGCCATGTTCTGCAGCGCACCTGGCGACTAAAACGACGCGCACCGCACACGGGGTGCTCATGGGGTGCGAACAAAAGAATGGAGCACATGGGAGCAATGGCCGAGGAGTGCAAGAGTTCTAGGGTTTCAGAGTTCCAGGCGAGTGAACTCTTGCGCTCAGGGCCTGGTTCGAAGAGAAGAACCAGCCGAGAAAGACCAAACAATGGAGACACCGCTGAGGCACATCTGACTTCATCCTGGAAAGCTTCAACATCGGGAAACAGGCTGGGAGTCAGATCGCTCCTGAGGGCAAGGACGCTGCTGGGTCGGCCAGTTCGGTTGAACCTGCTGATGTCCTTCCCATCATCCATCGAGGTCGACCGGCCAAACCAAGTATTCCATGTAAAAAGCGGGACGGAACAAAAAGCGGGAAGAAACTAGGAAGAGTCATTCACCATAGCTATATATATATATCATTATAAAGTATGCCATGTTATATAAATGTATATATATATATATACACCAGGACTATTCAATGGATGCCCTGGCTGGACTACTTAGGGATCTCGATTGGACACCCATGGGATAGGGTCATCCATGACTGGTCGATGACCATGGTCTTGTGCTGGATATAGTGAACCAGAACTTGAGAAAGTGACCAGAAGAAAAAGAAAGAATTAGGTTCACAGATAGTCATGTTCCTCATCTAGTCATGAACTCTAGTCATGATAATCATGTTCCTCATCTTGCGATTCCCAATGGCTCCCGAGGCGAGAAAAACCATGTCCTTCTACCGAGCTGGTGGGCGCGACACGTGGGTGCGGTGACGGACCCTGGGGACCCTGGGACCGGTCAGTCCCTACTTCACATCGCCATACAACTGATGGTGTACCAAATAGATATAGAATGGTGTTTTAAATGTCTCCCCCATGCTGGTCGCATGCGTCCCCAGTGGCTGATTTGATTGCTTGCTGCAATGAGCCACTCCAAGGTGTCGGGCAAAAGGCTTCCATCCAAACTGCTCAGCTGGTTGTCCTTGACCCCTGCGCGCATAGCGAAAGGTGCGGTCATGGCCGTTGAACTGTGGCCGAACTACTCAGCCCACGGTCATGACCCGGTTCCTGCAAGCTGTCAGGGGGTTCGGAGTATGCAGGTACCCTCCAAAGACCAACCTGCAAACTAAAAATTGAACGATTCTACGTGGGAGCTATCATCTTAGGCGAACGGAGATCCAGTAACCCCTTCAAGCAAAACTGACCAGGCTGACGAGTGAGTTCTGGTATCTCCCAAAGCTCCAGTCAGTCCAGTGATCACCCAAAAAGAGTAAGCACGCCTTCAAGCGAAACGACAGTCAACTCAGCAACACCCAACACCACAGGCCAACAGGATCAGTGATGTTCGACATGCCAAAAAGTGGATGACTCAAGATGAGTCGGACGAAGTCTCCCACTGTGCAAGGCCATCCTGTAGCATGGCCTATATACATATCGATGCCCCACTGTTCAATGGGAAGCAGTTGAGAAGCCGCCGAGAAGCGAATCGGCGGCTTCAAAAAACACCAAAAGCCCGGTCATCGATCGACCGGTTCTTCATCCGTCACAGCTTCAGGCCGTCCCTGGCAGTTCATCCGTCATGGGTGGTTCGTGGCGGGGCGTTCCGAGCGAGGAAGGAGAAGGGAAATACACCAGCAGACTGCAGCCAGGGCCAGGTGGTCTGTTCATACACGCCTATCTTCTGATTGGACCCTTGACCTCTAGGGTTTGTGGTGTTCAATACATCGTCTAATTGGTTTGCTGGTTCAGATTTGACTTGTTGTCTCAAAAGAGAGGACCGCGGTGGACCGTACCTACCCATCTGTTCAATCGGCATCAAGTTGCAATCCCAAGCTGCAGCAACATTCCTTTCTTTGCACTCCCAAATGACCTGTCACTCGTTTTCTTTACAGCTCTAAACAAATCACATGTGCTTTCTCCCCAATCAAACATTCAGATTACATAGCTGTAAATGCAGATCGATCATACCGCGCTCCCCAGTCAATCACCACACGTCCACCGTCCCGGAGCATGGCCTAACATCCGGAGCTTGGGGCAGTCGGCCAAGTTGGGAAGCTCCTTCAGCCCGATCTTCGCGGCGAAGAGGATCTCCAAGGAGGTCAAGTGCGCGGCTAGCCCCGCGGCCGGCAGCGCGCCGGCCCTTGTGGATGGCATGTTGGAGCGTGACATGACGGAACTCACCTGGAACTCACATGGTGGAAGTGGAGTGAGTTCACCCTTTGTTTGGGTTCGGAATGGCCATGCCATCCAACTTCCACGTTAGTTCCAGGGAGTGTTTTCTGTGCAAGAAGGTGACGCATGGAAGGTGACGTGACGTGTGGTGGTTGAAAACAGCGGTGCTGGGGTGGTTGAAAAGACAGCTGCTTGCAGCTGCTTGCATGTTTCTGTGTGGGCTTCCCTGCCATCAAGCACTTCAACAGACTCCGCTTTTGACTCAAAAACCCTGCGTTTCATGACGAAAAGCCAGATCGTCACCCGGTCCAAACCTATTGGCTTCCCACGTCCGGTTGCTGAGATGCAATGGGTTGGCTCCGATGTCCAGCTGTCGCAGCTCTTTGCAATTCCACAAGGTCTCGGGCAGTTGATTCAAACCTCGCGGGGTCTGATTCAACAAAAACTGGAGATCGTGACCATGGTGTATTTCTCCGCACCTATATATCTGGGCACCTATATACTGGATGCCTTTTGATATAGACAACCACTGAAGAGAACGACCATCAAGACTTGTCGTTTTCCTAGGAGTTGTGTCCTTTTTCTTTCTTTCAGATCGCGCCAACCTCTCCCTCAAATAGTTCGGGAAGCTAGCAGCCAGCTGACCCCAAGCTATACAAGGAACGTGATTTTCCACTTCCAGGTTGGACCATGGGATCGTAGGGAAAGTCAACATCGATTCACCGAAAAGGCGCCATCAATGGCTCCGCCTGCATTGAAGATCTTAAGCACCTGCAACTGCGAGAGGACCTTGACCTGCCACACGACATGCCGTCCATGTGCAGTCGCGTTGATTTAAAGAAAGACTAAAGTATCTCAAAGATTCTCAAAGTGATATCTCAAAGTGACAACCTGATCAGAACAAATTAGCTGGTAACTAACCGCTGGTCATCCTCTTATGGAAGAATGATGTTGGAAAGAAGCGGGGCAACAAGGCCTGATGTTTCATTCTGGATGGATGGATGGATGGATGGATGGATGGATGGATGGATGGATGG